GTAAAATTTATATTCGTTCAGTTTCCGAGCTTGATCTGATGCACCCTCAAGCCAAAGGAATAATAATGCTCCAAGGAACATATAAAACATCATAAATGCCAATGAGAATAAATAATCGAGATGAAGAAATTTGTACCATTGCTTGATCCGTTTTAACCATATATTTGATATAGGAGTTATTGTCTTATTAGCATTATTTATTATTTTATTAGAAGATGAAGTGGATGTTTCCCTGATAACTGACATTGATGGCATATTTGAGTTTTGTTGCTTACGATCATCACAGCTTTGACGAGATGAAACAGAGTAGGATCTAAGAACAGCCTCTGAACGTGATGAAGTAATTGCTGATCGACTATCCACATTAGGATTGATACATGCAAATGATGATGATGCTAAGTTACAATTGCTCGTTAGCAAAACCGACATGATGTACTGTACATCCTCTATGTGACTACAAGAAGATGGTTGCTGTTATGAAATAAAGTAAAATCGGTAAATATTGATAAATAGAATCAGAATGAAAATTGAGATGTCATTTGGCGCGTAGAATGAGGTAATTCAGGTAGATTAGAACAATATGGATCAAATGATACAATGGATAAATGGCAATTGTGCTGTTTGGAAGGAAGGAACAAAAAAAAGCAAAGAGGAAGACAACGTAAACTGGGAAGAACAAATGGTGTATGTAAGTCATCGACAAGAACACATGAAGCTTTGTTGATATTACCAAAGCTTTGGATCACACTCAAGAGTGTATCCTTGTTATGTCTGTGTAGTGAAAAAGCACTTGTTTGCACCTTTATTGTTCGAAAACCTTGCAAAGCAAAACTCAGTCAGTAATAATATATCGTAAAATCATCGCTATAAAAAAACTCCTTTTATGTCAATCAAAAAAAAAAAAAAAAAAAGTCAATCAAAATTTGAAACAATAACCAGTAACAAAGAGACACAAGAATCACAGATTTTCCATTTCATTTTAATCGATTCTCGATGTAGTCAGATGAAGGCCAATCGTGTGTTCGTCCTGAAGTATGCTTTATTTGTTTACTAGCATAAACACCTAATACTAAAGTCTTAGCTCTTCGCAAATTTTCAAAATAATAAGAAGAGCTAATCTTACGTGATAAAAAGTAGTTCACCTGACTACGGACAGAGATTTAACCGAAAACTAGAAGCAAAAGATCAGAACATCAGTCAATTGTCTTATTACCAAAGTAAATTACCTGTAGTCTCGTAACAATAAATGAAATCTTCAATTACTGCTAATTCATATGAAACGATCTTTAGGTACTAAAGTGTATTCCTAGAACCGTTTCAAATCATTTATTTCTCAGGACACTGAAGTCAACTGATATTCAACTCACTCACATGACTGTGCTCACCGTTTATATGAATGCTTCCACATAGAGGTGCAGGATGAATTCTGCCCTCTACTTCCTCTAATCAAGTTCAACCAAATTAATTGGGAAATTTCAGAAACAAATCCCACAATAAGCCGAGTTTACGGAACCAGTACTAATCATCATGCACCATGAAAAATGGGAAGAGGTAAAATTTCATAATAAGCCACGGTTGAGGGATAAAAATTCATATTACCGGAACCTAATAGAAAGCTAATCAACCACAAAAATAATAAATAAAAAAACAAGTCCCAAATGGTTAACATTATATATAAATAACCAAAAATGTCAGAATTACGAATTTTTTTTTTCTCCAAATTCCCTTGTCTTCTTTCCATAGCATTTAATTTCCTGTGAAAGTAGAAAAAGCTATTGCTAACTCTCAATAATAGTATTAAAACATATAAACGTTAGTTGAGAAACTTGAAAAATGCAGCAGAAAGCGATCAAAGTACGATACAAGAGATAGCCTTTATTAATAACAATGTTCACCCATTTTTATTTTTCGTCTTCATTTTCCTTTCACATTTTCTCTTGCTAACACGTGATTCCCCTGTCAGAAAAATACTGGCTAACGTTTTAAATCACACCACAGTTTGATTCGATGTAAAATGCTTGAAAACTCGAATTCCGTTGACACCTGCCTCAATGTTATACCACCTCATCTTTCCCTCTTCACCTCCACATATATGTCCCTCACACCTCTTCCATTCCTTCATATCGGAAATGAACTATGTGATCAAAAGGTCCATATACTACGCTTTTCATTTAATCACTTATAATTTATCAATAATTCTTATTATTCCAGAGCTACTCGCATATAAAATTTAAAATTTCTTTAAAGACCAATTGATACCAACTTCGAAGTGATAAAAAAATGGAATATTTTTTAAAAAAAAGTTAAGAATTCAGTTCAAAATACGATTTAATAATTACGCCTAATTCTTCTTGCCTCTTCTTCTCTTTCTTTCTTCATTAATTGAAAATTTCAGTCTGTGGAGCTGAAGCGGAGAAAAAGTAAATAATAGAATTTAACCTTCTGTATACTTTGTATAGCAAGATTTTTTCCCAATAATAATAAAAAAAAAAGTAGCGAAGGGTTGCTCTAGTTATTACTTAGCAAGGTATTATACTTGATTTTCAAAAAATGTTTCATTTTGGGACAAGTATGTCTAGTTATCATCACTATGCAGTAATTTATAAGAAAATAAAGCTTTATCAAAATCAATTTCTGTAAGGTAATAATATTATGATTTGGATGATTCATCTATACAAATTTTCGCCTCAAAATGACAAGAAAAATTAAAGTAAGAATATAAAATCAAAAATTTCGCATTATATGAAATCGAAGTCACCCAACCTTCCAAAAGATGTTAACACAAAATTGATAAGCAAGGTTACTACATAAAATTTTCTATTTACAGTGAGTATCGTAAAACTGTCTTAATAAAAATTTGACCATCAACTGACTCTTCAACAAGAGTAGACGAGTCGGTATATTAGTAAAAATCAGTACTGATCTTAACCAAAATGTATGGCGTGAGTTAAAGCAGACGCATTACACTATCAGATAAATGACTAAATAATCTGCCAAAAAAGAAAAATTGAAGTTTATAATCTGTTAACTTAGAGATTTATTCTCATTAAGGTAAATAAAATATTCGAAAAAAATTACAATCCACTCCAAGTACTGAACTATATTTGTACAATATGTTTTTATCAAAAGTCCCCAATAAAATCACTCAGTAATAATGCAATGAAATGAAATATATGTTATCACTTAGCAGGACAGAAACTTCCCAGAATAATCGACAAAACTTAACATCAAACACAAAACAAAAAAAAGAAAGGGAAACCAGGGCATAGTTTTCAGACATTAAGTATTGAGAAAATGATGAACAGACAAACACATTTTACGCAATAGCTGTTGTATGATGAACTGCCAAGAATTGAGATAAGGAAAATTAGTAAAAAATTTGTTCTATCAATTCTTTTTAAAGGTGTTGGCGTGATTTTATGTTGAGATTAACATCTATAGCACTTACCAACGACAGTAAAAGCAATTGGTTTATTTCGGAAAACGCGCGACGACACTTCCTTTACTGCCTTTGCTGTGACTGCCTAGGAATTAAAACTTTCAAAACTTTGGTCACACAAAAAAGTAAATTAAATTTGCAATTATTTTTCTCAGACAATCATTTGATAAAAATAATAATAATATAAAAAAAAAAGGTAATGGATGGACGAAAAATGATGGAGCTAGAAGCTCTGAAAGAGTGCTAAGCAACACCGTGGAAAAATTGAACAAAGCTCGAATTCAGTGACTAACTAAGTGTCATTCATTCGGATAACATGATTAATAAAAGATAAGCAAGCATTCTTGAAATTCGTCCCCAATTAAAATTAAAGAAATAAAAATTGAGCTGCGAACAACACAGCAAAAAGTAAACAGCATAAAACTGAAGTTATTGAAGAACATAAACTGACTAAAATGATACGTTCATAAAACCTCAAAACATAAAAGACTGCTTACATTGATTCGCACTTCCAATTCGTGCATAGGTATTCGTCTTCCATAACATAACAATTGCCTGCAAATAATTTAATACTATAATAGAAAAGATAAAAAACCTCTTAGTAGAAGAGATAAAAAATAAATTATCATTCAATTACCAATCTCTTCCTTCTCACTGCAAAAACTCAAATATGAATAATAACTTCACTTCACAACATAAGACGATGAAAATAATCATAAACGTCTTAATCATATAACCATGATCATTACCAAGAACAACACTACTGCACATAAATTGTACAACCAACTCTTTGCCTCAACAAGATGCTAACTTATCTTTCGGGAAACTACTTGGGAATATCAACACCTGGAAAACAAACTGACCAAGGTAAGATGCAAGAAATACTTCAAAAATCTGAGGAAAATTTGAAGTGTTGGAAAGGGAAATGTGCCTCGAAATTTCATAACAAAAGCAAGATAAAAACAATTTTGTCCGATAAAACTTAACTTGATAGAATTTTATTCAAATTGACAGAAAAGTTGCAGAAATTCTTTATCAATAATTGTACCCAGAATTAATATCGAATCAATTAAGCCGAATCGCTCGACACGCTGTTATCTCATTCGTGATGTTCTTACAGCAAAACTCGGCTTTCAAAACTGTGCATATCTTTTTCAGAAAAAGGAAAAAATCTAGTTTATCACCAAATAGCTGGAACATCTCTCTCTCTCTCTTATTTCAGAAAATTCATATAGCGCTAAAGATAATCCCTGTAATTTATATTATTTTCTGCAGAAACAAATCATAAAACATCCGGATATTTTTTTCATCATTATTTTCCACTTTTCGAATTTAAATTTTAATGGCAAATGTAAATTAGAAATATATTTTTGATCTTTATCTTATCAGTTTTTATAGGAACGCTTCCATGAAATGAAAACCACTCCAAAATACAGAGACTGAACTATAGGATGCAAATATAACAAAGATGGAACAATTTTTAAAACAATGTCCACAAAAGAATGATAAACTAAGGATTCACTACCTTCCAGAAATTATGTTCAAAGCATTACCTTAGAAGTTAGATCTGTGTTTCGACGGTAGACAGCAAACGTTCATCTACAGCAGAAGCAATACCTCGGCTTACTTCGTTTAACATTAGTTGCGGTAAAGATGGTTCACTAAGTGCTTTGTGCCGTAAAGTAAAATGACGTTTTCGGTCTTGGAAGATGGTATTTTTTGGAAGAGAATTGAAGACAGTACGTCGGAATGCTCGCGACAGAGTGAAATATATAAAAAAATTAGTAGCACTAGATATGACAACGATGAGGTTACTAATATCGACAAAAAATGTGGCGGTGGTAGAAACAAGAAATTCCGAGGAACTAAGGATATGTTCCGCTAAATCTAAAGCAGTTGGCATTAGGCGTGAAATTAGAAATTTAGCCATCACAGTGATGAGAACAAGTTCGCAGTCTGCACTTCTGAAGTGGGTGACACCACGAGTTGCGATGAAGTTTTGCCGCTGTTTGTTAGCAGCATGTATAGCCAAGCATATACGAGCAGAAATAATGAATAATACGACGTATGGAAATAATGAATAGAACAGCATTCCACCGATTATTCGATAACCAACCATATAGGCACGTGTCTCCACAAGCAATGTTTGATTCACATGATATTCGCCGTCCAGTTCATAAACAGACAATTCAAAAAGTCTTGGAAGCGAGAAGATCAACGCTAACAAGGATACTAAGGAAAGGGTTCGATGCACCTTTTGCGGTTTCACGTGGCTGTCCAATGGTCTACAGAAGGCCCGATACCGCTCAAACATTAAGACACACATGAGCCAAACGGATGCTGTCAAGGATGCATTACTAAGCAAATAATAAGATGGGAAAAACCGGGCATAATTACCCAATGATCTGAAAAATGCTGGTATGCAGTATAGTAGTGCAGCACTAATCAACAGTGCTGTGTCTGAAAATGCGAGCCACAGAAGGTATGTGTTAATCAGAGGTCGAGAGGTATTAGGAGACCGTCTTATCAAAGGAAAACTTTTCTTGGATCTCGCAGGTTTCGTTCGGCTATCAAAATAGGTACCAGAAGTCCTGCGTGGGACCGTTAAAAAATACATTGTACCCAGGTTAAATATAACACCAAACACCACCAATACCGCCGTTACGGGACCATTTAGCAGATAACCCATATACAAGATATCTTAGAAAGTGGTACGCAGCGAAAAAAGGTTACGACGACAAATAAAGTTCGTGCTGCTTATCACGTAGGAATTCACTATATACATCTAAAAAAGTAGGATCGACTTTGTTCCGAAAGCACTAAAAGCCACGCCTTTCACACCATCCGAAGCTTTATGCCCATAAATCATGTTATTCCTCCCTTCCTGCGACCCTGGGATAAATCTATATATATATATTAGTAATTAACTATTATTACTTATTATTGTCATTACTATTACTATTATTATTATTAACGTTACCATTAATATTATTATCATTGTTAAGTATATTATTATTGCCATTATTAACTATATTATTATAAATTGTTATTACTATTATTAATTATCACTATTCTCAAATCAACCATTAACCAACTGCTTAAAAAAAAAATGGAATACGAGTTTGTTTTCATAAATTTAACTTGTGCAAAAATCTGGAAGGTATCTTTTGAATCGTCAATACATTTTGTATTTTTGATTTGATTTTGTGATCTTTCTGGTTGTTACGAAAAATTTTCCTACTCTAGGTTTGTTTTTTTTTCCAGTGCAACAATTTTTCCCATTTGCAGGAGCAATTGGACATAGCCAAATACAAAGTTTAAAAAATAATTATTATATCAGGCTAAAAAGAAATACTTCTACAGTCATTCGTATAGAGGGACTTTAAAAATGGGTCCCTGAAAGCTTTCTATAATCATTTCTTTCGTTATTTCCAAGAAACATTCTAAGAGCTAAACATACAATTAAAAATGTAATAAAAATTTCAATTTGAGCAAGCGAATTAGCAGGTGTTAAGGAAATAATTCATTTTCCATTTAGCTTGAGGAAAAAAATTCTACTGAATAGAATACACATCTACCACGTGTGAACTTTTAAAAGCAAAGAAATCAGAAGTACATGTAAGATAAATGAGAAAATTTTGTGGAAAATTCAAAAATTCTCAGCTCAGTTCTTCAAATTTTTGCAAAAAAGCGAACTCTGTAATCAAAATTTTTTAAATTTTTTCTAAATATTTCCACCTTTATGACAGTTGTCTGAATATGAGAGCGTAGAACTCGTGATACTTAAACGGTAACTTATGAAATATGGTGCAAATTTAGTGAACTTAAAACCTGGAACCTACTACCATTTAAAAATTTCTCAAAATCTTTATTGGATGTATATTTGATGGATAAAATGAGTATAAAAATTCCAAAGAAATATTCTGAAATAATGAGATTTTAAAGAAAGCAACATTCAGAACCAATAAAAAACAAGAAAAATTTGGATAGAGAAGGAAAAACTATCACTTGCCCAGTAATTACTTTCCCGCTGGCACGAACTGAATAAAACCAAATTGAAAAACCTTCTAATTATTTTCCCTACTGTTCCATCCCTACAACTGCATCCTGCTTTTTAATAAAACAAAAAATAGATACCTTCCAATATCTTCACAAATTGGAGTGGATCCATCGAGCATAAGGGACATATTTGTCAATAATGACCGTTTTCCCCTTTCCACCTCTTCCTCAGTTATATTATCACATAAGTCGATCCTGAACCAGAACATACAAATTTTAGACCCAAGCATAACAACACAGTTCAAAAAATAGAATATGCTAAAAAAAAAAAAAAAAAAGATAAATCCTTTAAGATCCCACTTCTTTATTTTCTTAATTAAGGGAAAATTTTAACTACATAAGAATAATACCACTGTTGTGTAATATTGTCCACAACAGCACGAGCTCCGTTTTGTTCACATACAAAATAGACGCCAACTAGACCGGTGTCTTTATAGCACGTGTTAAAAGCTTGGAATGATTGAACCCGAGCATTTAAACCCAAACTTTGAGCTAAACGTGATGGTGCATTGATCCCAACTGCATTTGTTCGATCCCACTGCCCAATCAACTAGAAATCAACTAAGTTGTACAAATTTAAAACTTTGAAATTCAGAATTCCATAAAAAAAGTTTGATCATATTCAATTCCGAAGAAATAACTGACCGTATTTGCAACCATCAAAGGAATATTGTGAGGATGGGTCCACGAAGCTCCTTCAACAGCAAGTGCACCAAACACCATCGACATCCTTTCATCCCGGATGTCCTGCTAAAATACATCAATAGAAAGCAAGCTTATGTCATTAATATATTTGAATCATATGATTCCATTACCAATAGCTAAAATTTAAAACTGTTAAACTTAAACAAACTCGAAACACTGGAAAACTGTTTAAATATTAAATCTGATTCAACATTACTTGCTGCTAAAGTGATACTGAAATACTATACTTTTCACTATCAGCTTCTGCTATGCAACTTTCCACTACGTAAATTAACCATTTGAAAATCTAAGGATGAATCACTCAGGTGATGCACATACTTTTTTATACATGAACAAGTTCCCTAAAGAATTTGGTTCCTTTTATGCTCATTATTTCAAAGTTCAATGACCTGACTTATAAGACTTTGTTTTTTCATTACTGGCTCCATTGTTCCTATGTATCACTATGGTTATAAGATTCAATGTTTGAACTGAAACACACATAAATTACTGAATATAAGAACAAATGATGACAAAATTGAAAGAAACAAAATATCATACATAGCTTGCAACAAACTTTCCAGATTCAGCTATGAAATTATCATCAACGCCATCTAAATCTCCGAAATACTGTTTGCCTAAATCGACCAATTTATGGTGATCAACGCCACCAGCCGCTGCCAGTACCATATGAGGTCCTCGGTAATGTTCATTTATGTACTTCATCAAATCTTCACGTTGCAATGACCTGAAACCATAACATAAACTGTGAAATTAATTTCATCGGCTGCATGAAGTTAGTTTGACAATACTGGAAATCATCGATTACATCAAATGAAGTAAACAGATTTTATGACTGAATTTTTGGAATTTTTTTTTCTTTTACGAGGTTATTTCAAAACAGGTCATCGTGCAACTAAAGAAAACTGCACTGTAGTTAAGAATCGTTTTCAACATCAGTATAGCTTAACAGATAGGAATGTCTCACTTGATATTTTCAATGGGTCCAAGTATTGTTCTTGCGAGTGAGGTACCCTTAAATGCACCAGCGTGGAGATGATCAAAGACAACCTCCTGCAAATTCTGTTCAACTTCTTGCATTTCACGCAATATTACACCACGCTCCCGTTCGATTTCAACAGTTCTCAGTTGACTGTTACGTAGTATATCGGCAAGAATTTCTACAGCTGAAAGAGTTTTTACTTATTGTTTTTAATGTAGAGATAATCAACAGTCGCTGAATGTATATCAGCGAAAACATGCCATACTATATAATTTGTACCAATGCGAAATATCCGTAATATCCTGATTTAGTTTTCGTTTTCAGAAGCAATGATGAGCGTTGAAAATTTTCAAAATTTAATGCAGCAAAAATATGCGAATACTATTTACCGTGATCTACGTCCTCAGAAAAGCATTTGGCATAATACACTGTCTGCTCTCGCGAAGTATACGCATTCAAATGTGCACCCATATTTTCCACTTCTAGCTCCAAGGCTGACTGCGAACGTTTCATTGTACCCTTCAAAAAGGAAAAAAAGTATTGCAATCATGCCTGTGATTGAAATAGACAATAAGTTTGAAGATATATTATGTGAGAACATAACCTTGAAAGCCATATGTTCCAGAAAATGAGCAACACCATTATTCTTGTCATTTTCAAATCGACTACCAGCATCGATCCAAACACCTACCTGAGAAAAATATCATGATAACAATAGTAAAGTGTATGTGGAAATAAATATGGGGAACTTTACAATATATAGGAAACAAAAACTCATGAAAATCCAGTGAAAGAATGAACAAAAAAGAAAGAATCAAATAATCAGCAAAATATTAGTGATGTGACAAATAAAAATATACAGAAGCACCAGTGATGAGAGGAAAACATTTCGTAATTTGACATCCGACAATTTTCGCGATAAGTCTTGATGACAGCATAAGAGAATCATAGTTTTAATAATTCGATACTATTAGAAATAGACAAACTGTAGTAGTGAGAAGCTGAGAATCTTCGGTAGCAATCCGGAAACCATTGCTTAATGAGGTTACTCGTGTTTCTGGAATATTCAAATAGACCGGCGAAGCAGAGGCTGCAGAATTATAAAAACGAGGCTGAAAATATACTTATAAAGTGAATCGATCATGAATAGCAAAATAACCAAAATGATGAAAAAAATTAACAGAATGAGACAAAAAAAAATAGCAAAATAGCAACTGAAGTACTTACGCAGAGTTGCTGCAAACAAATGGTAAAATTGACCGGCAAACAAGAAGCACTGCCGCGTCGCAGTGTTTCTTTTAGTGTACATATCAATGAACGCATTAAATTCCGTGAATCCCTATAAGTGTTACAAACCTCAAGAAACTCCGTAACTTGGACTGATCAGTGTAACGAAACCAATAGTAATATTCTTCCCGATACCGCACCAACAAAAATTAGAGAGTTGGTATAATGAAGCACTAATGTCATAAATGCATTCTATGCATTTAATAAAATTTTTCCTATGTCTTAGATATACAATGAAAGCAGATGAATTAAGGTCAACTAAAGAATACATAAATTAATTTGGCAAATCTTTATTGTCGTCCCTTTCGTAGATTTTTTTCTATACCCTACCACACACTATCATAACATCTTCCATTAACCCTCCGAACTCAATCCACAATACAAGACAACTCAGCACACTCATATTAGATAATCTAATGCGGTACAACGCGGTTGGATGGCTTTCAGTGGAAATTGTGCAACCGTAGAAATAGCATTAGCGGAAGTGTTATGGACTAAACAACGATATAATTCATATCGATTTTATCATGTTTTTAAGGAAGTTAGTTAACAAATTTTCAAAAAATGGGAAGGAATTTTTGTTTGGAAATAGATAAAATTATAAATCATGGAATTACATTCAATATGAGATATCAACGAATGAACAACATATCATATTTTCAGATTTATTAAGGCATATAAATGATAACTAATTGCAGGATGAACTGAAAGCTCTGATAACAATGACACCATCATTGCGGCTAGTACATTTAGCTTACGAACATGCAAACTGGTGGGCAATTGCCGAAAAAGCTGATTCCTTCTCGTAATTTTTCTTTCGGTTTGATAAAAGAACATTTGTCCTTTCTATCATGATCAAATCTTTTTTATTTATCTCTATCCGTCGTGTTATTTGTTACGATATATTTTACGATATATTTTTTTTTTTTTTTTATTACGATATATTTTTTCTTAGATGTAAGAAAAAAAAAATGCATATTATAGTTACGATATATATTTCTTAGATGTAAGAAAAAAAAAATGCATATTATAGTTACGATATATATTTCTTAGATGTAAGAAAAAAAAAAATGCATATTATAGTTACGATATATATTTCTTAGATGTAAGAAAAAAAAAATGCATATTATAGCCTGTCTTTTAAAATAAAATCTATCCACAAAGTATATAATATAGATAAGTGAAGATATAGAAAAAAAAAAAAAGGATAAAGAAATTTGCATGAATTACTGTGTCCACAACAAATATTCAAATATTGCACCTAATATCTAAATAAAAAAAGTACGTAAAAGCATGCACACACTCGACGATGGTGGGAAGAAGAGAAAACAGACAAAACCTGAACCGGAAGATTGGTACATGTTTAATATGTTTTAGATTATACAAGCCAACTTGATTTTTCTGGTGTTTAACATTTTCACATGACCTCTCTCTCTCTCTCTCTCCCTCTGTACCATCACCGTTGTTATTACTGATACTGTAAGCGAAGAATTCAGTAACGATAGTCTCATTAAGGCGTTTTAGTTATTCAATAGAGCTCATAAAAATGTTTTATTTTGGGAGAGCTTTGGTAGTTATTTATTAATAATAAACAGTCATTCTGGGTTGATGTAGATGGCAGTAGTGTAGAATAGCATAGGTACTTCCAGATAATTCTTATTTGGTAAGTAAAATAAGACAACAAATAATTGTTGAAGTTGAAGAAGTAAGAAGGAGTGAGTGTGCGAAACAAACCAAATTTTTAATTGAAATTTATTAACTGTCCGGCGCAGTTGATTTTATCCTTATATAGTACTAGTTGACAACAAAGCGCATTATTAGTGTATAGCTGACAAGCAACAAAAGAAATTAGTTGGAAAAAGAGCTAACAATCTTTAAAACAATCCAATCTAAATTTATTTATCAAACTGGGAGAATTCAACAATAAAACTGAAAACGATTTTTAATATATTAAGGCTTCGCAGATTTTTTCCCACATCTGAGAAATATATCGTAATTAAAGGATAGAGATGGCTAAAAGTGAGTTTTGATTATGATGGAAAAGATAAATGTTCTTTAATTAAATCAGAAAAAATCTGAAATAAATGCAAATGTCATCGATGTTAAGCATTTAAAAAAGAACTGTAATGAAACTTGATAATAGCTAATGACTGTATTTTAAGCATCCACTGTTATGTCTGGAATAATTAGTTTTTTGCGATTTCCTGGACAGTTTGATTCTGATTTGCGCCAGCTAGTTGGTTCCTTTCTCGAAATTTCACTTTCTAAATCTACTTTTGTTCCATTTAATATTGACAGTACATATGGATATCATCTGAGAATCAATCGAATGACCCGACAGGTTGCTTTTAGAAACATTAGATTAGATTATAATTTCAATCTTCTGATTTTTCACTTACTATGAAACTCTTTCATTTAGTGTTACAATTGTATGACACTCGAAGCATTTATTTCACTACCATTTTTTTATTGTTCGGAATGACAGCTATTTGAGTCAATTTCCTGTCACTTCTACAAGGTTGTAAGATTTGAATTGACTTAGAAATTAGTGTAAGTCATAGCATGAATAACTTTTCACTTCAGATAATGTTCAAGTGCTTAAAAATTCCATTATAGCTATTTGGCGCTCGTAATTTAATAACTGCCTGTAACCCAACAGCTGGGCGTTATATGAGTGCTGTAGCAATGTTTCGTGGACAATTATTATTATTATTATTATTATTACTATTATTATTATTATTATTATTATTATTGTTATTGTTATTGTTATTATTATCATTACTATTAATAATAGTATAATAATAGTTATTAATATTGGTTACTAATTATTATTATTATTATTATTGTTATTATTATTACCATTATTATTATTAATTACTAATTATTATTATTGTTATTATTATCATTATTATTAATATTAATTACTAATTTTTATTATTATTATTATTATTATACAGATGAAATTGGAAAATATAGATATCACTTTGTGGATAGATTTTATTTTAAAAGACAGGCTATAATATGCATTTTTTTCTTACATCTAAGAAATATATATCGTAACTATAATATGCATTTTTTTTTTCTTACATCTAAGAAAAAATATATCGTAATAAAAAAAAAAAAAAAGAATATATCGTAAAATATATCGTAACAAATAACACGACGGATAGAGATAAATAAAAAAGATTTGATCATGATAGAAAGGACAAATGTTCTTTTATCAAACCGAAAGAAAAATTACGAGAAGGAATCAGCTTTTTCGGCAATTGCCCACCAGTTTGCATGTTCGTAAGCTAAATGTACTAGCCGCAATGATGGTGTCATTGTTATCAGAGCTTTCAGTTCATCCTGCAATTAGTTATCATTTATATGCCTTAATAAATCTGAAAATATGATATGTTGTTCATTCGTTGATATCTCATATTGAATGTAATTCCATGATTTATAATTTTATCTATTTCCAAACAAAAATTCCTTCCCATTTTTTGAAAATTTGTTAACTAACTTCCTTAAAAACATGATAAAATCGATATGAATTATATCGTTGTTTAATGCATAACACTTCCGCTAAAGCCATTTCAATGATGCGTTTCACAAATCCCACTGAAAATCGTTCAATTTCATAATATCTCATAAGGCTTCGCAGATCGCCTGTTATCAGTGTGTTAAAATTGCGTTTTGTTGTGAATTCGTTGAGAAGAATTGACGGAAGATGTCGCGATAGTGTGTAGGAGGTTGTGAATATTTTATAAATGCGATGAAATAACGATAGATGCGAAGGCTGTGTTGCATTCTTTGCCAAAGACTTCACGGCTATAGAATCCTTAAAAGGTTGGTATAATTCTTTTTATCATTTCATGGAAATGATTTTATTATTTGGTTTAAGAAGTTGAGGAAAACACGGCACATTGTGGTGTGTCAGAAAAACTTTAAGCAATTTCAGGTTTATGAATTTGAAGTTGCAATTAAATCATTAAGAATCTTATTGTAGTGAAATAGCATACTGTTGTGGTGATAGAATTGAGCGTGCATTCTAATTTACTAAGAACTTACCCTTATTAGACGCTCTTCTCTAGTTGAATTCATATGGAATTTGATCGCTGGAATACGTTCAAAATATCGTTTCGATGTAACAAAAAGGATATGAAATTATAATTTCCCAACTTGTGATAAATTGAAACCTCTCTCTTTTCAGTATGATGTTATTCACAATTTCATAAATAAGTTCAGGAACGAGAGCTTTCAGTACATCCAAAACAATGATAGGCAGCAAAGTTAATAGTTGAGAAGATTAAAACTGGTTTAGTCGTGCCATAAAGTTTTGTTTAGTTGTGTTCTTGGTTATCAGTAGTTATACGATTCCTTACTCTCAGACGATTATTTACTTAATTTAATCCTTCTGGGGAATGAATTTCATTATTATTGGAAAGTATGAAAACTGAGTACGCTTATCGTGACCATTGAGAGAAATACTATCGCAATGATGCAATTGGCAAGGCACCAGTACGTCTTGTGACGGAAATTTCCCATTTGGTTGTTCGAATGCCCAAACATATATCAATACTTGACCACTAAAAAAGATGTGGAAAGTAAGGTATATTTGCCAAATTTGTATATATGTAAAGAATGAAATGAAAGGTTCACATTCGATAAGCGATCATCATGAGATATGCTATTTTGAATGATAGAACAATCTTGTTAATTCCTTCCCCGTAAACTAGTAAACAGCAGGAATAAATAACTTGCCGGGGTCGTAAGCATCGTGCAACTTCAGTTAACGCCCGTTTCCTCCGATCGAGCGTTGTAAAATGGTGTAAAACCGATACTAATAAGGCGGCATCAATACTATTCGACCTATAAGTTGAGTGATATCAATGACGAAATATCAAAAATTTCAAATCATAAAGATGACGGTTGTACCCATTCATTAGTTACACAACTCCGATCTTCTCCTTTTCCCACCCACTTCATTTCTGTAATGGCAGACAAAAAGTTTAAGCCAAAAGAAGTATCTTTTACCTATACGGTAAATTTAGAGCATCTGCTAACTGCAAGTCAACCATTGGCGGTAATTGCAACTGCACAAGCATTTCTAAACATGTATCGCAATCCATAAAGAAACAATCGTTTCTGTGGTATTTCGCTTCACCACAACCTGAACTAACAAATATCTTCATTGGGGTATCTTTTCAGTGGACAATAAGAATAGCCTAGCTTACTTAGTAGTAAATGAATTTTTGTCATTTGCTCAAGTTTTCAGGTCAGATATTGACAGAGCATATCATGTTGCAGCGCAAATACGTTTCACTTTTATTAGCTTTTGCTACAATTTGCAAGTATTAGTTTTGTTTTTGTTTTTGTTTTTTGTGTATTGTATTTGTTTTTTATGACAAATGAAAAAAAAAAAAAAAAAAAAAGAATTTGCCGATATCAATGACAACTGTGCCCAGCGGGAGTTGATTAACAAATTGTTGAACATTAACCCATCGAATTGCCGACTTTCGAGTTGCATTTCGACAGTAAACAGCATCCGGAAGTGATGCCAAACATTTGTATGCTTCCTGAACGTATTTTTTCTCGATATCCATTGCAGTTTCCAGTGCCACTGTATGATATTCCCTATGTTGAATAACCAAAGTTCTAATGAGATTATCGTAATTGGACATAGAGGAATTTCTTACTACTTACTTCGAATTAATGCTATTACATTTATCCCACGATTTTATATAATGATACAGAGAGATACGTTGTTATTGCTCATATGCAAGTTGTGAAAACGCACCTTCAAATTTATCCTAATAATATCTCGGATAAATACGAAATGATAGCAGTGTGAACTGATTATGAGCAAAATCTACCTGGAAAATACAAATGTTTGGAAAACAAATGCTTGCAATATATATATATATATATATATATATATATATATATACAAGCAAGGCAAGTAGTGTGATTCCTTTATAGATTTGATTCAACTTCTATTAGTTAATTTATAAACTTATATAAATCGAAGGATAAATGTAATAGTATTAATTCAAAGTAAGTAGTAAGAAGCTATTATTCTATCCAGTGTCTCAGGAGAATACGAAATGTAGGTATGCTAACATTTTGGAACGAAACATAAGAGCAGAGTTCAAAAACCAAGCCGGCAAATGCTTCATCTCACTAAATCCTCTAGCAAAGATGTTTTTTCAGCAAAAAAAGAAACTACTGTACACCGACTTTCTTTAATTTTATTATAACGCATTTCCACGAAAATATAATTTAAATCTAATTCACTACAAGATTTTTTTTAACCTAATAAAATTAACTAACTACTCATCACGTTCTTTGCAACATAGGACGATTATCACTTTGATTATATCGCATTTTTACGAAAATATAAGTTAAGCTTTATGATGAATTTTCAAAATCTTCGTAGTGTAAAAGTTATCACAAAAAAATAAATCTTAGTTAAGTACGTATCGATCAAATCGACGTGTTTACTATGTCAGTTATAACACACGACAAATGTACTGAAACAAATGTACTCAATTAGAAAATAATATTGATATACATTTCAACACAGGTTATAGAGATAATAAACTATTCCCCATGTCCCCACGCCTTTAATTTGTTTTCCATTTTGTACCAGCATTCATCCCTATCTCTATGTCTTCATTTAACATTTGATACAATGGGAAAATTAAAAAGAATAATATTTCGGCTTCTCAAACAAAAATAAATGCAAAAAAAAAAAAAAAATATTAGTACAACAACGAAATCAAAAAAAAATTCTGATGCAGAAAACAAAATCTTACTGTTTTAATAACAAAAAATTGTATCCCCGAACAATATGACGTGACTTTTAAAAAATGGCATATCTTAAAAAATAAACCTCAGGGCATTTTTCCGAACAAAAATTTATGTAAAGGTGATTTTATTTTATAGAACTATGATAGTAATATGCAATAAATTCACAGAAGTGAAGCAAATTATAAACGCACCTGAGAGTAAATAACGTAAACTATTCCACTTGTTTAAATAAAAATGGAAGAATGCAGTACTCGAATAAGAATAAGCAACTTCTCACCATAAAAGCCATAAAGTAAATCGACTGTATGATAAAGAAATGCTTTTCGTTACTTGAAAGAAATGGATCGGACGACAAAAGTTATATCGACCTGTCCATAGCAACGGCAATCTGCTTCATGCAACATAATTCCAGTTATTTAACAATTTCATATTTTTACATCCCGAAAGTAACTCATGTAGTAAATTGGTAATCAGACTTATAACAATAATAAAAAAAAATGATTTTGAGACATGAACTGTGCCGCACGCACTGGTATGAGAACGGTTAGTAATTCGAATCTTGGAATAGGAGCAATTTGAGACTTGGCAAAGACCAAGAAAACTTCCTTCCTTTCTTGTAGATCAAAAAATTAATGATGACAATAATAACAACAATAATATCAATAATAATAAGAATAATAAACAAATAATAATAATAACTAACAGCCAGATTCGAAATATTCCGTACCATAAAATTCGATATATATCACAAATAAATTTATTACTGTATAATTCAGTTGATATAAAAGACAGTTTTGAAGCTACTGATTAGCTTATTCAATATCATTAAGTATTTGCTTCTAATTATCAGTCGTTCCATTTTGATCCATACCATTAACCATGTGCCATATATTCCAAAATCAAATCCTTCATCTCAAATTGCGCTTCCATGAAGTGCGATTCGTCTATCCCCTCGCTTGTATACCAGTGTACAGAGGCTTTACGTCGAAGCATCGTTATAAAAAGAATTTTACCAACATCAAAACTTTATTTTAAAACTTTTTTCACATGATCTCAATGAATTCATTGATTAAATGAGGTAATATTACAACTCTTCATGTATGATCAATCAATTAAAAAGAAAAAGCTACCTTAGAATTGCTTCCCAATTCTGACAAACACTTCCCTCATGGCAGTAATATTACCGAGGAAGGCAGCGCTGATAGCGCTCCTATCAGCGCCCAATTTGCAGCTGTCTACCTTGATGTTATTTAGCACCTGTTCAAGGTGTGGAACATTTCGAGCACTTGAAAGATAACCTCGCACTTCCTGGAAAAGAAGATTTGATGACGTTTCGACGATGACTTAAACGATGTTGTAAATTCATATAAATTGATTTACTGACATCCACCGAAACACTGCTACAGCACTCATATAACGCCCAGCTGTTGGGTTACAGGCAGTTATTAAATTACGAGCGCCAAATAGCTATAATGGAATTTTTAAGCACTTGAACATTATCTGAAGTGAAAAGTTATTCATGCTATGACTTACACTAATTTCTAAGTCAATTCAAATCTTACAACCTTGTAGAAGTGACAGGAAATTGACTCAAATAGCTGTCATTCCGAACAATAAAAAAATGGTAGTGAAATAAATGCTTCGAGTGTCATACAATTGTAACACTAAATGAAAGAGTTTCATAGTAAGTGAAAAATCAGAAGATTGAAATTATAATCTAATCTAATGTTTCTAAAAGCAACCTGTCGGGTCATTCGATTGATTCTCAGATGATATCCATATGTACTGTCAATATTAAATGGAACAAAAGTAGATTTAGAAAGTGAAATTTCGAGAAAGGAACCAACTAGCTGGCGCAAATCAGAATCAAACTGTCCAGGAAATCGCAAAAAACTAATTATTCCAGACATAACAGTGGATGCTTAAAATACAGTCATTAGCTATTATCAAGTTTCATTACAGTTCTTTTTTAAATGCTTAACATCGATGACATTTGCATTTATTTCAGATTTTTTCTGATTTAATTAAAGAACATTTATCTTTATCATAATCAAAACTCACTTTTAGCCATCTCTATCCTTTAATTACGATATATTTCTCAGATGTGGGAAAAAATCTGCGAAGCCTTAATATATTAAAAATCGTTTTCAGTTTTATTGTTGAATTCTCCCAGTTTGATAAATAAATTTAGATTGGATTGTTTTAAAGATTGTTAGCTCTTTTTCCAACTAATTTCTTTTGTTGCTTGTCAGCTATACACTAATAATGCGCTTTGTTGTCAACTAGTACTATATAAGGATAAAATCAACTGCGCCGGACAGTTAATAAATTTCAATTAAAAATTTGGTTTGTTTCGCACACTCACTCCTTCTTACTTCTTCAACTTCAACAATTATTTGTTGTCTTATTTTACTTACCAAATAAGAATTATCTGGAAGTACCTATGCTATTCTACACTACTGCCATCTACATCAACCCAGAATGACTGTTTATTATTAATAAATAACTACCAAAGCTCTCCCAAAATAAAACATTTTTATGAGCTCTATTGAATAACTAAAACGCCTTAATGAGACTATCGTTACTGAATTCTTCGCTTACAGTATCAGTAATAACAACGGTGATGGTACAGAGGGAGAGAGAGAGAGAGAGAGAGAGAGAGAGAGAGAGATTATGTGAAAATGTTAAACACCAGAAAAATCAAGTTGGCTTGTATAAATTTATGCGTTTAAAACGCACTGCAGTTCATCCTAATAATATTTCGGATGAAGACAATTGCGTCACTATAAACTCGAAAACAAATGCTTGCAATGTACATATAAGTAAGGCAAGTAATTTCATTTACATATCTGATTCAATTTATATTAGTTTATTTATATACACATGAAAAAACTCAGAATATTACAAGTAACCAACCGACTTTTTCCGAAATTCATTTCCAGTGAGACCTTTTTGGGATCACTCTCCAACGACTGCCGTGGATTTCGCTCACCGTTTATCTTGAATAATATTCTAATACAGTTGGTCATAGTGATTTATATGTGGTAGGTCTGCTTGTCCGTGTGCATGTGTATGTGTTTCTTTGAGAGATAGCATAGACTAGTGAAAACTGTAAAGAGAATAGCGTGATGGAAGAGACTGATGGAATTTAGGAGATATAACATTATTAGACATGGCGAGGAAGCCGAATGAGTATGGGAGAAGTGGCGGAAGTGATTGAAAGAGCGCAATAATTTATTGGTAAAGTGAAAGTTTTGTTGGTAGCAACTGTATGACATTTGGATTATCTGGTAGTACGTAAAGATATCGTCATCACGAATGCCAATTTTGGTACGTGAAGGTATGATCGTTCTTGACAGATAAAGATGTCATTGTTTTAGTGTGTGAATGTACCGGCATTCGTGATTGTCATTTTATCGAAAATATAATTGGTGTGATGACTGTGACAAATATCTGTGTGATAAAAGAATTAGTCGATTCAGAGAAATAACTTCTCTTGTTTCAACACGTGTTTCTTGATATCTCGTCAAATTTTATGGTTGTTGTAACTCAAGGTTTCCAAGGTATTGTTAAGTTTTAAAACTTTATGTGCGCGATTTATTCTGATTTCCGTGTATTACGAGAGCTATCAGTGATTGGGTCGCTACGAACGAAATCATGGTACCGCCTATAAATAGGAAAAAGGTTTTGGAACAGTACACCATTCTTTATGAATACATTGCGTTAAATGGAAAAGAAAAGTGCTAAAGAAAAACACTGAATAGTTTCAGGTTACTGTATGCTTCAAGTACATGGTAAGATAGCGATATTGAGTGTATTCATACATATAGTGCTACTATATTCAATATTTGATATATACTATTCGTCACCTTTGGTTACGGGCCTTCATCCTTACCCTATCACTAATGGAAAAGGCCTAGCTGATCGTCTCGTCATTTTCTCAGCTGGTTTGTTTAGATTTGGATTTATTATTGTTTCACTTTTCCTTACTAATTTTTCTCAGTAATCAATTCATTATGATGCCATCTTTTTGATAACATCAATTCCCTTTTTTACTTTTCAAAACGTGCACTTTCTTAAATTCAGATATGTTTTTACTGTTTTCAGATGGTTTGCGAGCAGATGCATTCTTCAATCATCCTGAAAAATCACCATTCTTGCACGAAATTATTAATTCAGGCAAGGTAAAGACTCAAGTTTGCTGAAGCTGCTGTGGGCCAATTTACATATTGTAGAGATATTGAGAAGTCTTGCTTAGGAGAGAGAAGGAACTATGATTCAGGTTATTCCTGGAAAAGAGATTTGCATGAAATCTATTAATTTTAAGAGTTGCTGGGGTGTAAGTGTAAGTCATGTACCGACCGAATCACGTCCTGGACATGTAGCAATGCTTGCTGGCTTTTTCGAAGATGTCAGTGCTGTCGCCCGTGGCTGGAAGCATAATCCGGTTCCATTTGACAGCATCATCAATAGGTAAGACTCTAAAGCAATGTTAACACTGACAAGCATAAGCAACTTCACTTATACAGGTTTCTTTTCTTTTTTAGGGTGTCTTCTGTGCTGATCATGCTTATCGGTAAAGGAAATATAAGAAATGTAATATCAAATAAGATTTAACATTTCAGAACCAAAGCGCATGATATGTGCAATGATGATATTAGCAATATTGCAGGTCACGAGAAGCATTTGCTTTTGGTAGTCCGGACATTGTCTTGATGTTCACAAATGATGTCAGCCATGCAAGCGCAATGGTTTATTCTTCTAAATTAGAAGATTTCCAGCAGAATGACGCCGCGCAACTGGATCGGTGGGTTTTCAGAGAAATAGAAGTGAGTTTTTGTAATGCATGTTTTACAAACTTTAATTTTTGCTGAGAAACCTGAGCATTCCATAATAGTAGTAAGATAAAAACTTTTTCCGGAACTTCTGAACAGCGCAAATGTGACTACTGCGAAACGTTTGGCCTCAGATCGGCTTGTATTTTTCCTGCATTTACTGGGATTGGACACAAATGGACATGGTTATAAACCGCAGTCAGATAAGTACATTGATAATATTGCAGTTGTTGATGCAGGAATTGCAAGAGTGGTACAGTTATTGAACAGTTTCTTTGCGGATAACAGGTTCGTCAGTTTAAAAAACTTCATAGATAGCTTGGGACAATGAGTCATTATTACTGATAAGTGGTGAAGCTGTTATTGCTAGTGATTTTTTCTGCTTTGCATTTCCAACTATTTTTTTTTTTTAATCTTTTCCGACAGACTTTTAGGACAGCCTTCTTATTCACCTCAGATCATGGAATGACAGATTGGGGTTCACATGGTGCTGGTACAGAAGCCGAATTAATTACGCCGTTAGTGATTTGGGGACGTGGTGTACGTGGCAGCATTGTGAGGAATGAAATCAGTCAAGTAGATCTTCTTACTCGCGTTTCCATTTTTTTTTCAAGGTGTCACTTAATGCACTTATCATGCTTTGATATATAAACAATTTAAGATTGATCTGTCATCCCTGATGTCTGCTTTGCTTGGTTGTCCAATTCCAATGAATAGTTTCGGAATTATACCTTTGCATCTTTTGGATGCAACGCCGAGATACAAATTTAAGGTGGCTTATGCCAATTTCAAACAGGTCTGTTGACTATTATTACTTTCTTTTATAAGAAAACTTGCATTAGGACCCTCAGGCCGTAGCAGGTGATAATAAGTTATATCGTTTTATGTTTTTATTAGTTCCTCCTTCTTGTTTTATTAATTCTTCTTTTACTTTACGGTTTACAAAATCTTTTAGCTCCATGTAAGTAGTGGAAAAAAATTGTTGTTTCAACATGTGAGAATATTTCTATCGACTAATGTTTTTCGTAGTATTGGGACCACAATTTTTCTTAGATGCTGGAACAGTTTATTCTGAAAAAGAGTGAGAAAAAAGCTCATTCATTGCCCTTCATGTTTCGTGATTTCGATGAACTTCACCCAAAAATATTGCCCACCATTGAACGCGAAATCAAAAGACTTGTGACACAAAATAGGTTAGTTCCATTGAACAGTGGTTTTTGACCTTAATCCCTGGCCAGTTTAATTAAAATTTGTTTTTTAATCATTGACTGTTAACCTACGTATGGATTCAAATGGAAGTTAATGGTTGGCATCTTAAGCCTGTTTTGGACTAGTGCACACTGCTTTTTGCATACAGTTGTACGCCATCTGAAGACGCGTTTTATTTAATGGCTAAACATAAGTCTTCGTTCTATAGGTTTGAAGCAGCTGTAGCTGTATGCTTGCAGTGGATTCCAATTGTTCGAACCGGTTTAATTTATTTTCATCGTCACGACCAAACGCTGTTGGGATTTGCTGTTGCTTCAACATTCATCACATGGATGTTATGCGTTTATTTCATCACACTGAAGTAAAAAATTTCCGTAAATTGAATCCTGGAAGATATTATCAAAATTGGAAAAACATAACTTCATTAACTATGATAAATTGTTTTACCAATTATCGAAAACACATTCAGCGAAAAGATTAAATAGAAAGTTTATGGTTGGTCCTTTTTAATATGTTTAATGTAAATTTCTCGTGTTTACAGGCGTTCTTCTATAATTTTGAGGAATAAGAATGTGCTAATTCTAAGCCTAAAGCAGTTTAGTGCTGTTGGCTTCATATTCACGTTGTTATTACTTTGTGGACTGCCATTTATGCATACTTTATATCTGACGCTTCCGATGTATCTTGCATGCGTTTGCTATAATACAGTTGGCGATTTATTTCGTTGTAACTTGGAAAATTTTGTTATAAGTTGGCATTCAACTCATTGTTCAGAAACAATAACAAAGTGGCTTTTGTTATGCGTCTACTGGTTATTTTTAGCTGTTTCAATTGGTAAGTTTTAGTGCGCTGGACGTGGTTTAATT